GTGTTATGCAGAAGAATAAACTAAACAACTTTTGCCTCAGGGTCACATCGAAATTCTTCACCAAATTTAGAATAAAAAATAAAATTTAAAAATAAGTCTTTTATTTTTATTTTTATTTTTTTTTGGGCCCGGCCGGGCAAGTGGACCCGGGCCACTCTGGTAGCCTAGGTATGGCTATAGTTACCATATGTTTTATTCGGCTGAAGAAGGTCGCAGTACTCTACACAATTTCATTGCGATCACTAGACAGTGTGCTAGGTGCGAAATTCTCCACACGTTTGTGCTTATTAATGTTATCATCAGGATGTGTGTGTTAATTTGTTCAATTGGATTTGCAACTTGGATTTGCAATTTCACAAATCCAATTTAAGTCAGTTGCCACTTGTCTTTTGGTTCTCTTCAGCTGAAGAATGTGATGTTAAATTGGATAATCTGGATTTGCAATTTTGCAATGCACCATGTATCAAAATGATACAACCTTTTAACATTTAAAACAAGAATTTGGGTAGGACCAGAAAAAATGCGATCTGTTCGACGTTTGACCTGGAGTTTGAAAACTTAGCCAAACTTCTGCCTGAACTTAGTCAAACTTCTCTCACCTTGCAGGCAATAATAAGCTGCATAGAAACCTTGTCGGAAAGAAGGAACCAGTTCGAAGCAGTTTGGCTTCAGATGGGCTGGTTTGACGAATCTGGTCGCAAAGAAGGAACCAGTTCGAAACAGTTTGGCTCCGGATGGTCTGGTTCGATGAATCTGGTCAGAAAGAAGGAACCAGTTCGAAGCAGTTTGGCTCCAGATCGTCTGGTTTGACGAATCTGGTTTAAAGCGTCTGGTCTGAAGTGCTCCATGGGTTGAAAGCAAGAACCTGGTCGAAAAGAAGGAACCGGTACAAAGCAGTTTGGCTCCAGAGGGTCTGGTTTAAGGAATCTGGTCGCAAAGAGTCTGGTCTGGAATGCTCCCGTTGCCTTAAAGCAATCTGGGAGAGCCAACTGTTTTGGCCAAAGAAGCAATTGTTTTGACTCAGTGGCAATGAACCTTTATGAGTGATATGAGAGGGGGGCCATTGCCGTTGAATGCACTGTCAATTTTCAACTTTGCCCCTACTCGTGACCTCACAGGGGGGAAATTGACAGGAATTGGTCGGAAAGTTTTGGTTGATTCAGCCTTTTGGTCTCTCTCTCTCTCTCTCTCTCTCTCTCTCTCTCTCTGTCTCTCTCTCTGTCTGTCTCTGTCTCTCTATGTCTCTCTGTGTGGGGCCACCAACAACTTATGTTTGATTTTGTTGGCTGCCGGGGCTTGGTACGTAGTTGCTTGCTTTTCGAGAAATGTTTTGTTGGGTTTTGCTTTGTTTGTGTCGTTGATAACTCGATATGTTGTATGCAGTTTTGCTGATTTGCGGTTGCGATTGCTTTTGGTGCTGTTGCAGTGTGGGATGTACAGGGTTGAATTTTTATTTTTATTTTTATTTTTATCTTTTGCCCGTTCGTGAGTTCCTTTGCGAACAACCTGTGTGTGTGTGTGTGTGTGTGTGTGTGTGTGTGTGTGTGTGTGTTTTAATTGGCTGCTAGGACTCATACATGATTGCTGTTCTTGAAATGTTTGGTTGGGTTTTGCTTTTCTTTTTTTTTTCTTTTTTCCCTCCTGTTTAAAAAAAAAAGGGTTGACAGCCTTGAGATATCACCATAGAACTGACACACACACACAGATTTTGAGCCCGGGGTAATTCAGAATTAGTTTATGTCATTCATCTGGATTTGAACGTGAATCTTTACTACAACAGGAAATGGGTATAGCAACCGAGCTAGGCCTTTTTTGCTGATTTGCTGATCCGACTGTTTTTGGTTTTGCGGCGTGGATTATGGGGGCCAGTGTTGGAAAGATTTTGCACCGGTATACATCAGGCAAAGTACCGAAGGCGTTCAAAATTATTCCTCACCTCTCCAATTGGGAAGAAATCCTTTATTTCACGCAACCAGAGAAGTGGTCGCCCAACGCCATGTATCAAGCCACTCGGTTGTTCGCCTCCAATCTAAATGCGAAAATGGCACAACGGTATGATTTTCGTCTCTGTGCATGCGGTGCCTTTTTTATCCCACCCTCCCGACTGTACAAGACCATATATACATAGTACGTACTGCATTGTTAGAATGTTGTATATGCACATGGTACGTACTATGTACCAAGTACACAATCACATATGTACTATGTAGCATGTAAATACAGAGACACCATTCTTATTCTTTAGCATGTTTTGTACGTATATACTTCGTACTATGTACTAAGTACATTTTTGATCAGTTAATTAAACAAAAGTCACTCAACTAAACAAAAAGTCTGTCAATCAAACAAAAAGTCTGTCAATCAAACAAAAAGTCAGTCGATTAAACAAAAAGTCAGTCGATTAAATAGGAAGTCAGTCGATCAAACAAGAAGTCAGTCAATTAAACAGAAAGTCAGTCAATTAAACAAAAAGTCAGTCAATTAAACAGAAAGGCTGAGAAAGCCAGTCAAAAAAAGAAAGAAAGAAGAAAAAAAAAAGGTGGAAGTGTCCTTTGGGACATCCGTTAAAATTGGAACGATACAGAGAAGGATGCGCAAGGATGACACACAAAAGAAGAGGTCAAAAAAAAAAAAAAAAAAACAGAAGCCCGTCAATTAAACAGAAGCCTGTCAATATCCTCCATTCTCAGTCTTGCAGATCATTCCAAAGAACATAAATAAATAAATAGAAATGGAAAAGAAAAAAAGAAAGTCAGTGTCCTTCCAACTGCTAGGTGTTCTCAAAGGGCTGAGAGAGCGTGAGACGCTTGGTCCGCAATCTGATGACTGCCAGAGGCCAACAACTACAGTACCTCTATTGAGCTTCTTCCTCGAATCTCGACAAGATTTTGAAATTTTGACTCTGTCCAGGTATTTACCAGATACAGTGGGCTGGGACCCGTGACTGGCTATCGTCAGTTGTGGGGTGGTGGTTGGTGCCCATCTGTAACTTTGAAATTTGTATTTTTGAAATTTGTATTTTTGAAATTTGTAAAATTTTGTATCTTTGAAATTTGTAATTTTGTATCTTTGAAATTTGTAATTTTGTATCTTTGAAATTTGTAATTTTGTATCTTTGAAATTTGATCTTTGAAATTTGTATCTTTGAAATTTGATCATTGAAAATTTGAGAATGTTTTTGAAGAAATGGAGCTTCAGACAGGAGCCAGGGAGGAGGTAAACAAAAAGGCGGGGTTCACACTGTGACTGCATCGCTGAACTACTGGCCATGGATGGCTTTGCTGTGGGGCATGTTTTTTTTTTTTTTTTGGTGTTGTTCCAGGTTTTACAACTTGGTCCTGCTTCCAAGAGTAAGGAATGATATCAACGAGAATAAAAGACTGCATTTCGCGTTGTATCAGGCTCTCAAGAAGGCAGTGTACAAGCCCGCAGCCTTTTACAAGGGCATTTTACTTCCTCTTTGCCAGGTAATCAAAATGTTTTGTTTTTTCAACTTTTTTGAAGTTTTCTTTTTCTTTTCCTTTTTTTCAAATGGTTCGGATCCGTAAGGGAGGATGCGTACGGCATTATATTGTGTTCCAGGCAGGCTCTCTGACCATTGTGGAGGTGGAAGAAAATACCTCCTCCTCCTCCTCCTGCTGCTGCTGCTGCTGCTGCTGCTGCTGCTACCGGAATCTAGGCAAACTCTGAAACCATGGTAAAGGTGGGAAAAATCTCCTCCTCGTCCTATTACCCTGCCCTGTCCTCCGCCTAAGCCTTGGTCGTCGCCTCCTTGTCTTCTTTCACCTCAATTTCCCCCTTTCCATCTTACTTCCCTCCTCCTCCTCCTCCTCCTCCTCCTCTCCCCATTGCCATCGTTGACATGTTGCTATACTCCTCTTCCCTTTTGTTGCCGTCTTTACTGTCATTGTGATTATCCTTGTTTCTTCCACCATCCTTGCTCTTCCTGTTTTGTGTTTTGTTGTTGTCACAGGTTTGCTGCTTTTCATAAGCAGAGTCTTTTTCCTCCCTCTTCTTCTTCTAGTACTACTTCTAAATTTTAATCCTTTTTTTTTTTTTTTTTTTTTTTTTTTTTTTTTTTTTTTTTTTTTTTTTTTTTTTTTATTTTTTTTTTTTTTTTTTTTTTTTTTTTTTTTTTTTTGAGTTTGGATGATTCGGTTCACTTTTTATAAGGCCAGCTATGTTCTTCTTCCGAATACAATGCCCCAGTATCATGACTCTATTTATACCAGAACAGGGCTGAGATGTGTTCGTGATGATGGCGCATTATGTTTTCCAGGGAAGAAGATATAGCGTAAGAACGAGTGAATGGCATCTTCTTCGCGCCGTTGTTGGAAATGGGGGGCTCAACCTCACAAGGGGGTATTGGTCTCATTCACTCTCATTGGATCAGCCTCACTAGGGGGGGGGTGGTGGTGGTGGTGGGGGGTTGTAATTAATCTCATTGGATCATCATTTGTGTTAAATGTTCATATCATGATGAGCATCGAAGGAGAATTGGAAAATTAATTTAACTAAGATATCGGTGCAGCTCCTCACAATAGGACTCTATGGGGTGAAGTGGAACTCGTGGCTCCTGCTTGCCTCATGTTTTTTTCTTTTTTTTAATAACCTCCTGGATTTCTTTGTTCTGATTGCTCCCTCTACCTCTCACGTCTCCGAGGATATCTAGTGCTGTGTGTGAGGTTTGAAATCTATAAGCCTCCCCCCAAAAAAGCATGCTTAGTGCCGTGTGCGGAATTTGAAATCTGCAACTGGAAACAAAAGAAGAAACAAGAAAAGTAAGTAAACAGAAAGTATCATTGGCCCCTTGCCTCCTTCCGTAATCTGCCTCGTTCCATGGAATTAATAAAGCTGTCAATCAATTATATCTGTTCTGGCACACTAATTTTTCTACCCGATTTCTATTTGGCCGCTTGACATCTGCGAGGACTCAGGATATTCATAACTAACTCGTTTGCATTCTTGTATGCTTTGTGCCCACAGGGGAGAGAGAGAGAGAGAGAGAGAGAGAGAGAGAGAGAGAGAGAGAGAGAGAGAGAGAGAGAGAGAGAGAGAGAGTTTTGGAATGTGAACTGATGTGTTATTGCTGGTGATGCCTGCAGTCCAGAACGTGTAATTTGCGTGAGGCTGTGATTATCGGGAGTGTGATTCAGAAAGTATCGATACCAGTTCTTCATTCAAGGTGAGGGTTCCTTGTATGTGGGAGGTGGTCACATGCTTCTTTCTAGCTCTAGCTCTCTCTCTCTCTCTCTCTCTCTCTCTCTCTCTCTCTCTCTCTCTCTCTCTCTCTCTCTCTCTCTCTCTCTCTCTCGCTCTCGCTCCCTTCAGTATTCTCTCTCTCTCTCTCTCCCTCTCTCGCTCTCGCTCCCTTCAGTATTCCTTGTTGTTGTCCTACTTCTCCTCCTGCAGGGAGTGCCCTCCTCCTTTGTAGTCTTCAACTCTGCTCTCTGCTTCCCGTTCCTGCTTCTATCACCATTGACGCTGCTGTTGTCTTACTCCTCCTCTCCTCCTCTTCCTCCTCTGAAATTCTCAACCCTGCACTCCTCTTCCCCCTCCTGATTTCATCACCATTGACGCCGCTGTTGTTGTCTTCATCCTCCTCCTCGTTGCTGCCATCATTATCCTTCTTGCTTCCTCTTCTTGGCCTGTTATTAAAACCGACAGAAGCATCCTTCGGGACATCTGCTAGAATTCCAATGATACAGATTAGATTAGCGAACGGCCCCTGCGCAAGGATGACACGCATGAATCTAGAAATGATCCAAATTTTAAGGGGGGAGGGGGGGGGTGGGGGACCAACAGAACTTACAGAAGCTTGAATGAGAGGAATGGAAGAGCTTGCTGTTAAAACCAACAACAATGTAAGTGAAAGCGATGTAAGAGATGGCTTCGCTCGGGTGTTCTTGCATCTGCTTCTAGCTGTACACACACACAGAGTGAGGCAGGAGGAGGAGGGGGAAGGGGAGAGGAAGAGGAGTATAACAACAACCAGGACAAGAAAGAGTAGGCAGAGGAGGATGGTGGTTCACCGGGGGGAAGAGAGGGAAGAGGATTGCAGCAGGAGCAACACATGGGGAGAGGCCAGGAGGAGGCATGGAGGAGAAAGAGAGGGTCCCAGGAAAGAAGTGAGAGGAGAAAGGGTACCTCCTGAAGGAGACGAGGGGGAGCAAGGAGGTGGTATTAGAAGTAGGAGGGGGATGAAGAGCAAAGACGAGCGGGAGTGGGGACTGCACGCTCTCCTAGATAATATGGTTGTTGTTCTGAACTCTGACTGCTTTTTGTTTTCTGTCTTCCTCCTGATTAATGAGCCAATAGAGCCAATAGGCCCAATACTGAATATAGGGCCTCGCTCCACTACACAGCGCTCTACATGCATCAGGTCGTTTTCTGGACCAGGTGCACCCTGAAGAGTCCAACATTCTGAATGCATCGGGTCCAGAAAGCGTCCACATATGTGTAGAGCGTTCTGTAGTGGGCCGAAGCCCATAGTCCGATATACCCTTCATTCAGTATGCAATGGATCGGACCTCGGACATGTCTGGTTCGTTTCGCTTTTTTATTCTACCAAAGGAAAAATAGAATGACTCATGCTGATGGGAGGTATGGCACTGTGCATGATGATGTTTACACAACTTCTGCAGTGTGGCGCTGATGAAGATTGCAGAGATGGAGTACTCGGGCACCAACAGGTCAGCGTGCACAGGAGATAGCTTCATCATCTTTTCAAGTTTTCAGTTGCTTTTCCTTTTTTTTTTTTTTTTCCCAGGTACTTTTTTTTTTTCGTGTGTTGGATGAGGAATTTGTTGTTAATGGCAGCACGAAAGTTAAAACTCAAAAAAAAAAAAAAAAAAAAAAAAGGAACTTTGAAAAGAGAAAAAAAAGGGCAAGAGTAAAAGAGTGTTTGAAATTGTCGAGCGAGAAGCGGATGGAGGGAAGTCGTGCAGTCCCGTCTGGGCAGGGGTGGATGGCGACTGTGTTGTGGCCCCCCTTGTTGGACGTGGGGTGCCTGCCAGCATGGGCTGCTGTGACCGGCGTTGCAGTGGGGAGTGATTGAAACCCCCAACGGGTGGCCGTCACGGCAGTCGAGGACCTTGAGCACGCACCTCTTTTGGCGGGCCCGTTCAGGTTCCTGCGTGTTCGGGATGCTGGCGAAATTCCTCTATCCTRCCCGTCTTGAAACACGGACCGAGGAGTTCAACGTGCATGCGAGCCGGTGGGTGATTAGCCCACAAGGCGTAAGAAAACTGAGTGGCAGGAACCCTCTGCGGGTGCACCGTCCGCCAACCACGATCTGCTGTGAGAGGTTTGAGTGTGAGCATGCCCGTTGGGACCCGAAAGATGGTGAACTATGCCTGAGCAGGGCGAGTCCAGAGGAAACTCTGGTGGAGGCTCGCAGCGATACTGACGTGCAAATCGTTYGTCGGACTTGGGTATAGGGGCGAAAGACTAATCGAACCGTCTAGTAGCTGGTTCCCTCCGAAGTTTCCCTCAGGATAGCTGGAGCTGTTGAACAGTTTTATCGGGTAAAGCGAATGATTAGAGGCCTCGGGGGTGAAACACCCTCGACCTATTCTCTAAAACTCAAAAAATTTTGAAAAACATAAGAAAACTTAGAAAAGGTTTAAAAAAAACAGAAAAAAAGGTTATTGGACTTGGCGACGTATGTGTGCAGTTGCAGGTCTCAGTGACGAGAGATTTAACTCTATTGCTGTCAGCGTTATATGAATTACTACTGAGTTACTACTAACCAGGGTTTAACAGTTAAACTTTGACTCCATTGCTGTTTGTTACCCTTGATCTGAAGTGCGACACCCGGATTTAACTCCATTGCTGTTTGTTAATCTTATCCGCACTACTAACCAACCTGGGTTTAACAACTTCCTTTAACACTGGCATTGCTGTTTTACTGTCATCTGAAGTATTAACCTTGCTTTTAAAGTTTAATGGACCATTTGCTGTTAGCCTGTTACTGTTATCTGCACTATTAACCTGGGGTTAACCAACTTTTAACTCCATTGCTGTTAGTATTATCTGCACTGCTAATCAGGGTTTTCGAAATTTGATCTCCTTCGCTGTTATTAACCTATTAGTGCTATGCTACCTGACTACCCTGCTAATGTACTGTATTTTTATTTTTTATTTTTTTCCTGTATCGTTTGCTCCTTGCATAGAGTAACTGCTTTTTTTTTTTTTTCCGTTTTTGTATGGGAATTTCCTTCCCTTTTTTTTTTTTTTTTTTTTTTTTTCGTGGACAAGTTGTGTGATCCTTTCTCCCTGAGTTTCTTGTCTATCCTTCACTTCTGCTTTTTCATGAAGTCCGTTACTTTTATTGTAGGATGAACGAAGTGACGTTGAAGTCCAATCACAACTGCAATGAACTTACAAAACTACCCCTGCCCATCCTTACAATGCTCATTACGAGCGCTTGTATGGCATGACCCCTTAACCCTACTTCCCTAACCCTAACCTATCGGAGGCATGGTATTTTCCATTTGGCTTGTCCCACAGACTGCAAAGTTGTGTAACTGCTTTGTGCAGCCCCTAGCAAGTTAGTAGCGACCCTCTCTGACTCTGGTGGTCAGTTATGGTGAAGTATTGTCCCTTTTATTCCTGGATTGGGGCGATTGATCCTGCACGGGTGTCATGGCAGACGCGGCGCAATGACTTTTGTCGAGTTTTTAAGTTTTAACTTTTAACTTAGCTAATGAATTATCGGATGCTGCGAAAGACAGAACAGGAGCTATTCGTGAACAAAAAAGAAACACACAGAATGGCAGAAGCAAATAGAGCGTTTGCAGATTGTAGATATTAAAAAAATGCTTGAAAAACGTTTGACATTACTTCACACTGTTTACAGAGTATTTTTTTTACGGCGCTTTTTATATTCTAGAAAGCGGTCTTGCTTTTTCCGCTTTTGGTAGGCAACTTCATCTGTTTGCTTGCTGAGGCGGCTCATGCTCGTGAAGTCTTCGAGGGGTTGTTGCAGCATGGCGGAACAGAGGTAGGCCGCCGCATCCTTCAGAGCCGTGTGAGGGTTCTCTTTGCGGTGCCTTCTTGACAGTCTCTCTGTGGTAACATCGTATCTGTTCTGTCCTTCCTCTCCGTATGCAGTTACTTCATCCGGTTGTTGCTCGACAAGAAATATGCATTGCCGTATCGTGTGCTAGATGCATTGGTGAAGCATTTCATGCAGTTCACTCAAGAAGAGAGAGAGCTGCCTGTTGTATGGCACCAAGCCCTGCTTTGCTTTATCCAAAGGTGGGTGGAAAATAATCAAACCTATGTTCCTAAGGCCCTAATGACACACACACACACACACACACATGTACACAAACACAAACAGACACACACATAAGCAAAGAGCCAAAGTAAGGAAAGCAAAGAAAGGACTATACAGTGTACAAGGGGAAAAGGCAATATAACGGTCGTAGCGTGCTTCACATTGTCTGCTTTAGCAGTAAAAGCTGTTTTGATTTTGGATCTGCTGGTCTTAGTCTGCTTCATGTTGTTTGCTATAGAGAGAGGCAAAGCTCTTTCAATTGTGCGTCTTCTCATCTGGGTAGAAAAGGGGTCGTTGCGGCGACAGTTTACTACAGACATGCCACATTCACATATACACAACGAACCAGTCCGGCACAGTCGATGCTTTTCTTTGTGGAGTTGTCTCAGTTGTGTATAGCGAACATGACTATACACGTACAGACGTCCCGGCACAGTCATGGAACAGTCATGGAACATTCATGGGAATGGAACAGGCATGGAACAGTCATGGAACATTCATGGAACTGTCATGGAACATTCATGGAACAGTCATGTCATGGAACATTCATGGAACATTCATGGAACACAGTCATGGCACATTCATGGAACATTCATGGAACATTCATGGAACACAGTCATGGCACATTCATGGAACAGTCATGGTACAGTCATGTTGTTTTCGATCAGTCATGACAATACACATACAAGCATCCCGGCACGGTAATGGCTGTTCCACAGAAAGAACATTGAGTGGCACAATATAACTAAACTCGATAGAAGATTTGTAAGGTAAGGCTGTTTCGATTTTGGATACCTTTTTTTTTTTTTTTTTTCCCCTTTGGCAAACACCTGTTGGCTGTGCTAGTGGTGGCGATACGAGCCCCCACCACTAGCAAGCCATCTGTTGGCTCCGATCTATTGGTGGGGAGCAGCACCTGCTGGAACACCGGTCCAGCTTGAACTTACTCAAAATCACATACAGAGCTTGCTGAGAAATAATACAGATCTGGACGTGAACTTGGCTGTAGCGGCAGTGTAGCCAGCCAGCCTCCTCAGCCCTCAAATGGCTGCCCAGTTCCTCAGTGCTGCTGCTGGCTGACTAGACAGCCCGGTGTCTAAACACTGAGGAAGGTATTCTTGCCTTCCTTAGCCCTTGCCCATACACCTGCGCGAAAACGGGTCCAGCATCCCACTAAACTGTTGGAAAACAGCTGGAATGGCTGCCCAGTGGAATACAAAAACGTGGGGCCTTGGGGGTGTCAGTGTGCTGCTGCTGACAAAAACTTTTTTTGTGTATCCAGATTCTAAAGAAGAAGAAATGATGAAAAGAACGGTTTCAGTGTGCTCTTCATGTTTGTCTTCACCGTTTCTATCATTTGTTTCGCAAAGTGTGCTCTTTTAGTTGAAAGATATGTGAGTAATACTGAGTATCCTTGTGAACATCTACGTCATCCTCAGCGTGCCTGTCCTATCTGCCGGGTTGGGGGTGGGGGCGTCTCTTCCTGACTGATCAATAGAATCAAGCGAGATCAGGAGCAACAGATGTGGAGTTGAAGAAGGGGAAAAAAAAATGAAACAAAAAGGAAAAAAGAAAGAAAGAAGAAAAGTACAAATTTCTGAAGAAAAGAAAAAGAAAACAAGAAAAAAGAAAGAGAGAAAAACAAAAGAATATGTTGAACCTTGTAGTGACAGTGGCAATTGGTTTATCTGCGGGATGTGTCATTTGCTTTCTTCCCTTGTCTTTTCTTTGATTGGATCCCTTTCTCTTCACCAACTCATCAGGAGGGTGAACAGGGTCTGCCCAGCCTGAAACGTCACGCCGACCAGGCCACACGGACGTTGATTTAAATATGAATTCGGTTTAGCGCGGACATTTTGTGGCAGAGCAAAGTGATTTTTTGTTTATTTTTTATTGTCCACCCCCCCCTGATCAGCGGAATGTAATCTACATCCCTGATTGTTTTTTGTTTTTTTTTTTTTTTTTTTTTTGTTTGTTTGTTTGTTTGTTTGTCGTCGGCAATCAGAATAAAAGATCGCCAAAGTTGGGGCACTCGGAATTCTGCACCCCCCCCCCTCCTTTGAGTTCGTTAAGCCGATCCTTCCATGTTGCGCGTACAATACTGCCACACATTTCGCAAAGGGGGGAGGGTGTGCACTGGTGGCCTAAAAACAAGAGAAAGCCGTGTGTGTGATCTGTTGTCATCACCGCAGAGAGGCCCATGGCATGAATGTGGTTGTTGACGACTCTCTTGTCCTGTGCATGTGGTGCTCTGTTGTCATCGTGTGTGTGTGCGGGCTTCATTCGCTGAACAGAATGCCCCAGTAGCATAGCTGCATTTGGAATAGGGTCTGTAATAGGGTCTGTAATACTGTATTGGTCCATGGTGATGCAGTGTGTAATGTTCGGGGAAAGATCGTAGAGAAGTTGTGGACATGTCTGGTAGGTGGCAGTGCACTTGCCATATGAAACAGAACTGTTGGTCACAGTTCATCCGCTGTTTCATCCGCGGTTTCATCCGCTGTTTCATCTGCTGTTTGACGTGAACAGGTTTAAGAATGAGTTGACTCCAGAAGATAAGGAGAATCTGAAGCGTCTGATGAAGACGCACAAACACTACCTGGTGAGGGCCGCATGAACCACGGTGAACCGTGTTTTATTCCTTTCTTCCTATGTTCTTCACACCTCTCCCTTCCAGCACTCCCCTGTCATTGACTCCCTCCATTTCTCGTGTCTTCCGCTCTTCTTCCCGCTTCCGCTCTCACTCCTTCTGTCCCTCCCTTCTTCGCTTTCCTCCCGCCTCACTCTCCCTCCCATCCTGCCATCCTTCTGTCTTCCCTCCCTGACCTACTGGCGTCCTCTCTTCTTTCCTCTCTCTCTCTCTCTCTCTCTCTCTCTCACTCAAGCTCTTTCTCTCATTCTCTCTCTCTCGCTGTT